AACTGAGAATAGATTAAATATTGTTTGTCTTTATTAATATTTTTTAATAGTGTAGCCTTGGCGAAATTTGTGATTATAGAAGTATAAAATACAACCAAAATAGTGTACAAACTTACAATTCCAATTAATTATAGTCGAATCTCGACTACTGCGGGACCTCTAGTCTATACTAATATTATAAAACTGAATAGTTTGTTTGTTTGAACGCGCTAATCTCCGGAACTACTGGTTCGATTTGAAAAACTATGTCAGTGTTAGATAGTCCATTTTTTGAGGAAGGCTATATATCGGCTATATAACATCACGCTAAGACCAATTCAAGTGGAGCACCAATAAGGAATGTTTCAAAATATTTTCACTTTCTACGTAAATGAAGTGGGGGGTAAAATTTAGCGTTATGCCAAAGTAACTGTTCCGCGCGGACGGAGTCGCGGGCAAAAGCTAGTCGATAATAAAATTTTGATAAATCCATATTTGGTACAAAAAAAAGGAGATGTTAATGGTAGATAGTTGTGTACACGTATTTCCTATCGCTGTATAAAAAATATTGTTTGCTGACAATAAAAGCCTGATGATTCGAATTTCCCCTTCGCTTCGGTAAACTCATGATATCGGGTAAAGGTATTGCGAATCTAGAGACAGAGGCTCGTCCGAGCGCACGTCCGTTCGATGAATAATTACACGCGACATGAGCTTTGTCGGCGTGACTGTGATATTCTAACCGAATGTCGAACGTCGATTATCTATTTATGAAGCTCCGTCTCTGAAAAATCGACTGAACAGAGCGAATGGAGAGGGGGTGTTGGTTAAAACGGCGCCACCCCACCTCATTCCATGGGTGTCGGTAAAGGTTATTAACAGATTTAGTGTAACAGCGTTTTCTGAGCGTAGCACTGCGATCTGCGTTTGCTAGTGGTTGGGCGTATCGTGAACCCGCCCCTATAGATATTATCCATAATTTATTTATTTATAAGTAAGTAGGATGGGTAGTGAAAGATCAAAATCTTCCACTTCACGTCCAGCAAGTATTGAAAAAAAAAATTAACAGTTTTATACAATTATTATGTCATTCGTAAGCTACCGCATCAATCATGTTTACTCGTTCTTGAAGTCTGTGAACGTTGAATGATTCCGCTGTATTTATTGGTATTGTAACTATGTATATATATATATATATATATATATCTTAGAATTTATATTTCGAGGTGGGTGGCGCATTTATGTTGTAGATGTCTATGGGCTCCAGTGACCACTTAACACCAGGTGGGCTGTGAGCTCGTCCACCCATCTAAGCAATAAAAAAAAAGTAGTCAAGCTAAATAAAAACGGTGTTAAAACTTCGTCGCCTAGTCGAAATTCCGATATCATAAAATAATACGACACGTCTCTTGCCTGCAGCTAAAAATGACTTTAAATATAGCCTTGATAGTCGACAGCTGGCGGTGTCCCGTCAGCCGGACGTCCTTTACAATACACACTCAATAATTCGTGTATATCGTGTCGCTCTTACGAAACCTGGGCCGCGTTTTGAATTTTAAACAATGTCTCTTGCAAGGCACTATTTGCGAGATACGAATGAGCCATTGGTGAAATCAAATATTAATTACGCTGCGCTTACGACGGAGCAAGCGCATCTATATCGTAATTTCTGTTAATGTCAAAACGTATTTAGTGTGTGTACACATGTAATTTGTGAAGGCCAAATTATTGAACTTGTTCAGTTTTTTTTATTGCTTAGATTCGGCGACTTTCTATCACAGTTACTTTTCGGTAGGCAGCGGCTTGGCTCTGCCCCTGGCATTGCTGAAGTCCATGGGCGACGGTAACCACTCACCATCAGGTGGGCCGTATGCCCGTCTGCCTACAAAGGCAATAAAAAAAAATAAAAAAAAAAAGATGCGACAAAAACGGGAAGTCACATTCCAATTAGGCCCTTTAAACTGGTCTTCCTTTTTTTTATTTATTGCCTATATGGATTGACGAGCTCACAGCCCACCTGGTGTTAAATGTTTACTGGAGCCCATAGACATCTACAACGTAAATGCCACCATCCACCTTGAGATATAAGTTCTAAGGTTTCAGTATAGTTACAACGGCTGCCCCACCCTTCAAACCGAAACGCATTACTGCTTCACGGCAGAAATAGGCAGGGCGGTGATACCTACCCGTGCGGACTCAAGAGGTTCAATCACCATCAAAGCAGTCCTTCCCGTATAAGTTCCCGTGAAATTTGTTGATTGTTTATTGTAACTCGCGAGTAGGTATCTTCGGTACGTCGCCGCGTTGTAAGAATAGCTAAAAATATCATAAAACACTTGCATTCAATCGCGTGATGTCTGTTAAATGATATCGTAGTTAATATACAATTAATTTAACTGTTATAATCTTTTAGGTTTACTTCGCACGTAATTGTTCAAAAACAATGGTGTTTTTGATGGAGTCCAAAAATCTTATTTGTGACTTGATTATGTTACCCAACGCAGAATATATAGCCTATAATTATTTGATTTTATTCTTCTTCATCTGGGTGTTTTAAAGAACGTTCATGTTTATGTAATGTTTCACTTATCTTTTATTAATATTTTCTTCTAGCTATAACAACAGATAGTTATAGATTTCTAGCTAACGATTCAAATTCGATGGTATGTCGTATCTAAGTTTTGAAAAGAAATATAAATAACACGAAAAATATTTCCATTCGTTCTCAGAACGTTTAGCGTTTTATGTGCCACTTCGATAAAGCGGCACGACACGAGAATCCTCTCATCATGGCCGCCGGGAACTACATAGCCGATCCTGCGGACCGAATGGTACACAGTCGACGTCGCCCAAAACACGTCATTTTGGATCCTCCCGATCCACTAACGGTTCTTTTAGGTACCTCAAGCACCGGTCATCGTTCTCGGCGATCCCGTCGCTTGCGACGAAGGGCTCGGTGAGTAAATTAACCCACAGACACAGCCCACTGAGTTTCTCGCCGGATCTTCTCAGTGGGTCGCGTTTCCGATCCGGTGGTAGATTCTGCAAAGCACGGCTCTTGTTAAGGTTCGTGTTATCGACATCGTCAGGCTTGAGCCCCGCGAGCTCACCTACTAGTTAAGGTTACGCTGAAATGGTCTCTCAAGATCATCAGTTTAGGTAGGAAAAAAAAGGTTTTATGTGAACGCTATTGTCGCACGGTCGTGATTCTCATGCTTTACATTCGGTTTCTCTAATGGTATACAGTGAGAAACTTAACAGTTTGTACAAGAAATAATTACGAGTAAAGTTCAAAGACTTTTATGGCTGTTTCGGTGACGCGCACCGGCCGTGGTTGGTTATAGTATGTTCGGTGATTGTTTCGTAACATTCATACTGGTTACGTTGAATATTGGAGTTTATATACACAGTATTTAAGGCTTAATTTGTTTGGTTTATAACTTGAGCAACATTCATGAGCGTGGTGTGGACATGTGATGCGTAGAGAGAAGATGCATGTGACTGGGAGATGTATGGAAATGGTAGTGCAAGATAGAGGGGAAGAGGTCGACCGAAGAAGACATGGATGGTGTGTGTGAATGACGATATGAGAGAGAGAGAGGAGTGAGTGTTGAGATGACGACTGATAGAAGAGAATGGAAGAGAAAAATTTGCTGTGCCGACCCCACCTAGTGGAAAAGGTGGAGAAAAAGAAGAGAACTTGAGCAACATTCAAATGAATTCAATGAATTAATTTTTTTATTTAAAAAAACCGTAAAATGGGACATTGTTGTATTCTAGTGAGCTTATTAGGCGCAAATTTTGAATATGACACCTATCCATCTAGTTTATGTTATGTCGAATCTTATAAGAATTCAGATGAGTGTCTAATGAGGTCTTATCATCGAATAGATAAATGCAAGTACTGAATGTTGTACTGAACGTGTAAATCATTATAAACATTTATCGATAGCAACAATTTTAAGTAACGAATCAGTGCAGACAAAAATCAGTTTTATGTTCTGGGTGGCACAGTTCTGTATTGCTAAACCAACAAACCGCTTCGATTTTACCAAATGATGCGAAGTTTCTTATTTACATGAAACATTAAGAATTATTTACGTAAATATATTTTGAAAATCTCTATTGTTTGTATGTTTCGAATAATTTGATCTTTTATAATTGTACCAGCTTGAGATACATAAGGGAGTTTCTTGTGGTAATAAAACTCCAGCACTTGATATTATTCTTATAATATGTAAATTGAGAGATGTACAGCGTACTTCAAGAGCGGGTAGTGAATGATTGAATGATAACGAAATACAATAATATGTTGCTATACAGTGATGCTTAGCGCCTTAGAAGGCTAGCATCTTTGACATTGCTATAAAAGAATTGAAGGCACTGGCCTGAACAATAATATATAAATTACATAACTAACTGCTGGTACTGGTGGACATCAAGTGAGTCCCCACGTGTAGGTACCGCCACCCCACCTACTTCTGCCGTGAAGCAGTAATGCGGTTCGGTTTGAAGGGTGGGGCAGCCGTTGTACTGTTAAAACTGAGATCTTACAACTCATGTCTCGAAGTGGGTGGCGGCATTTGCGTTGTAGATGTCTATGGGCTCCGGTTACCATTCAACACCAAGTGGGCCGTGAGCTCGTCCATCCCTTTATGCAATAAAAAAAGAAATATAGAAATTACACAACTAATATTACGAAGTGAATTTGTAATATGTATTTACGAAATATTGACCCAAGATTCGAGATTTTGTTCTAAAGTGCTCATGTTTGTTTGCATAAGCGAATACGTTGTACAATGTGTGAAATGATTTGGTAATTCTGAAAGTTTCGATAAATCTTTCTTATCTTATGCAAATAAAAAAAAAAATATTATTAATTAAAAGATAAAAAATAAATTAGTAATCGTGAAAATACTCATCTATCACGTTTCGTTTCTTTTTTTTTTCATAAGTACCTACGGCATGTTTCTTTTCTTTTGAATTATTAATTTAATTTTTGTTTTTTTTTTTGTTTCCAGGTTTAGATAATCGGTTACCGAATTCCAGGAGTTCAGTGTCGCCGTGAGTATTCGATTTGATTTTTGTAAATTAATTTGTAATTTTTTTAAATTTTCTTTGGATATTTAAATCAATATCGAAACCATATTGATAATGTGGAATATTCTTTTTTTCGATATCGATAATTCGTATTGTACGTTCGGCTCGAAATTGAGACAAATAGAGAATCGATATAATTATAAAAATATTTATTTTTCAAACACATCCTTATGCTTCCGCTGATAACATATTACATATTTATAGACGTATGGTCATAATAAATAATAAGTTAAAAATGGTTTTCAAAGAATCTAGAAACTAGATATACTATTCTATATATACTTATACCATACTTTTAAATATACCATTTTACCATATATGTAGTACCATTTATTCTGAGCTCTAAGTTAATTATGGCTATTTCTGCCGCGTAACAGCACACAGAACATCAAATTTGCAATTGAGACTTCGATCTCTCAGGGTGGGATGGTGACAGTTATAGCGTTATCATGTCTATGGGCCTTGGTTGGCTCGTCTGTACATCTAGAGCAGGGACTCCCAAACTTATTTTGTCTACTGCCCACTTTGAGAATAAATTATTTTTTAGCTCCTCCATTTTTTTCACATACCTAAAAACCACTATAGTGAGAGTTTAGTCGGTGTCTAAGAGTCCTCTTAGAAATCCTCTTAGAAATTACAAATCGCCTCCCAAGCTTCTGCACAACGCTCTCATTTTTTTCTGGGTCTATTACCACCCCCCTTTAGGACTGCTGCGCCCCCATGGAGGCGTATCGCCCTCTTTGGGAAAGACTGATCTAGAGCAAGACAAAAAAAGGCTAATTAATTTTCATAGAGATAATTTAATATGTGTGTGTATGTGTTTTTGCAGTGACGTCGTGAATAAGGACCTTGGTTTGTCGGAGAGTGACGATGAAGTCGCCGCAGCAACGCACACTCTTGGACCGTGAGTATTTAACAAAGCTAATATAGTTTATTTATAACGTTACTTCTTGCTGAGTCAGTAACCGCTCACAGCACTCACGTACGGACAGAAAGACAGGATTAATTTTTTTCTCTGTTTTTATTTGATCACAGAAGTTTGAGAAGTTAAACTTCTTTGACGCAAAAGTAAGAGAGAAAGAAAGAGAGACATCAGTGTTTCACGTTTTTTTTTGCATTTAGAATTCGTTACACAAGAACGTTGCACATAAATTAGACTTTAAAAAAAAATTGTTACTTTCACAAACAAGTCGATTTAGTGTCATACATTTATCGATAAATTGATTGGGAAGGCTCACTTCAATCTGTGTGACGTAATAACTCAGTAAATGTCCAATACCAGGCCCATATCACCGATGGGATCGAACAGTCCGACTTCGGGCAGTTCGTCCCCATCCGACTCGGAGTCGGAGTCCTCGTCGACGGAGTCGAGCGTGTTGGCCGCCGCGACGACCCCCGCCACCTCGGAGCTCCCCGCGGCGCCCGCACAGAGCGACTCCTGGAGCCTCGTCAACTTCGCCCCTCCCCCCGCCCAACCCCCGGACAACAACTACGAAACGGGCAAGGAATTGAGACATGCCTTGGCCGATGTCAAGGGAAAGGTGAGTAATGTTAATATAAATAATTTGGTATGCAACAAAATTAACAAGAAACATCTGTGGCTCAATTGATACGACTGTTACTCGACACATATGATAAGCTATTTTTATTATATTTTTAAGTGAATACATACCTTTTTTTCCTACGTATTCGCGGGTGAGCTCACTAGATATGTGTCGTTCGTTCAATTTTAGAGATTCAGATCAGTACTGACCTGTTGACAAAATGATCCGGTTCGTACGACCCGTTCAGTCGAACGAACCACTAAGCGAGACGGGCGCGGGGCGAGACGCGGCAACCCGAAATGACCCGAATGACCGTCGTACTCGTATGGTTCTTTTCTTTTGATTCGTAGGTTTTGTGTTAAACGAGTCGATTTAGTGAACGACTCATATTTTTTGAAGTGACCCTATCGTTCGCGCGGAATTTGAGACCCGGGTCGTTTGACTCGTTCGTTCGCGAACGACACATATCTAGAGCTCACGGGTTCAACTTGAGAGAAATACATACCTACCTTACATAATAAGTACAAACATATTTCACGATGAATGAATAATAACATCGTGTAATAACATTCAATCCGCAAAATAAATAAATTTGTGTGATATCTGCTAATAGCGTACGCTGCTAGCTCTTCAAATATATTTTTTTATTGCTTAGATGGGTGGACGAGCTCACAGCCCACCTGGTGTTAAGTGGTTACTGGAGCCCATAGACATCTACAACGTAAATGCGCTACCCACCTTGAGATACAAGTTCTAAGGTCGCAGTATAGTTACAGCGGCTACCTTTAAATCGAACCCACCCTTCAAACCGAAACGTATTACTGCTTCACGGCAGAAATAGGCAGGGTAGTGGTACCTACCCATGCGGACTCACAAGAGGTCCTACCACCAGTAATAAAGTACTACCAGCTTCCATATTTGTGTCACTTAATGTGTCACGGTCATTATAAAATACAAATTAGACTTCGCCTTTTCCGGCAACCTTTTAGGATCGTGATCGTCGTCCCGTATTTCCAAACTAAAAAAATCTGAATTGAAAAAATAAAATTTCCAGAAAGAAACATCCTGTAGTTTCTTCGAACAATCGTGGGTGACCGCGCAACGCCCTTTTATGCACTGTATTATTATTTTAGTACTTTCTAATGGATTATTGGATTTGGCTACCTAGAGAATATGATGCAATCGATTATATTTTTGAAAAATTTATTCAAGTATCAAAACTAAATGAGCCATGTAAAGGAGGTACATAGCTTAAATTCCCCATTAAACTTTAATCGCCACGTAAAAAAACGTATAGTCTGCTAAATTTCCTTCCCAGGTTTCAAGTTAACGCAACGAATTAATTTCCCACGAAACACATTATTATTCTGTTTAAAAAATCAATGGAAACCGTACACGTAATCGTAATTCAATCGGTATTAATTTTATAGCAACTAAGTCTCCCGCAGTCGAGAAACCATTTCACAGGTGTCGAGTTCCCAATGATAAACACTTCCCAGTACCCGGAGATCTTACTAAGCACAATTATCTGACCGATGGACCGACCGCTAAGTTATTAAGTCATTCGCGATACAGTTCGCCTCGGTAATAGGACGTTGGTGTTTCTGTATTTTTGCTTTTAACAATATTCGGCCGATAGTAGAGCGTCTCGATTAGATTTCGAATCGTTCGATTTAGCACCGCCCAGATTAATCAAGTGATCGAAATTATACTATGGTTAGCACTGAAGCTGTCGCTGACCATAAGTGTATTAAAGTTTTGTCGAAAAAGAATTTGTATCGTTCTTTTTCCAATTTCAAAGATAATTCGGACTGTAAGATGTCAATGAAAGAAGAAGATAAACTGAAGTACGCTCTGTGGCGAGCAGTCGCCGGAATCAACGACAGCATTACCGATTCGTCAGAGGTTAAATACATAAATAAGTTTGTTCTTCATATTCGTACACTCTTGACAGAGTGGTCGTGGTCGTGCATCAGTCGGATCCTGCGATACCGATGCTCTCGCGATGCGACCCCATGTGGCACGATGTTTCGTAGAGTGAGAACAATCATTTATGTTGGAGTGAGTCACAGATTTTATAAGGTCGGTCCATCGTCCGCAAGATCTTTTGCCCTCGACTTTCCCTTGCACCACCAACCGCTCAATGGAGTCCACATTACGAGTGTTAAGTTTGTATATCTGGTAATTGAGGTCCGTCATTGTAATGATAATTTTGATTTCAGAGTCCAATATCAGAGATGTCGGACTCGGAAACGTCGTCGCCCTCTCCCGGCGCCGGACGGCGGGCGCGGTCCCACACGAACAACAGGATGTCGGCCGCTTCAAGCGATGACGATACCCCTCATCATTCTTCGGTCAGTTTCATTTCGTACCTTTCAATATCTTAATAGCGCATTTAACTTGCCCTGTTTTCCTAACGCTAAAACAATATACCGAAATATAAACATATCGAATATTTGCAGACGTCACCACGCGTAACGGCGTCGGGGCCCCAGAAACGAGGGCGACCCCCAAAAACGCGAGGCTCCGACGAACGGCCTGCGAAGAAGAGACGCGGCCGTCCCCCTAAGGCACGCGCCCCCTCCCCCGCGGCTGGAGCATCGCCCGCCGCCGCTCCCTCCCCGCCCCCCGCCGCCCCGCCCGCGCCTGACAGCGACGTCGAGCCTGATCTGCCGCATCATCACCATGCACAGACAGACACCAAGACACACATTTTCCGCAGAGTTCGTATATGTTCATTAAATTGATTGCTATCGAATTTTATTAGTTACACTAAATATCTTTCAATTTAATCATTATCTTCTAGGTCTTCACCCCGAGAAAGGTTGAAGAAGGTGGAGGCAAGGGCGGTAAAGGAGGAAAAGGAAAGGGAAGCAAAGCTAAACCTCAAGTGACGATCATTGAAGCGACCGCGCCCGAGTGCTGCGCTGACGACGAGGAGCGGAGGCGGAGGGAGCGGTCCTGCGAGAGGAGACACGACGAGGCGCTCGCGAGAGTCTCTCCTCCGCGAGTCGTGGAGCCGCCGGCTCGCGTGCGGGACGAACGGTCTCCGTACCGAGCCGACAGACACCTACTCGACCGGCCGCTTAGCGAACGACTCGCAGACCGGCTCGCGGCCGAGCGGGCGGCCGACCGACATCGGGACCGGATATCCCGAGAGCGGACTCCCGTCGAGCGCGCCCCGCCCGAGCGACGCTCCCACGAGCGACTCTCCGATCGGACGGAGCTCGACCGGACCTCCGCCGAGCGTATCAACTCCGAGCGACAGGCGACCCGCGACCGATCCACGGAGCCGTCCGTCCAGCCTCGACTGTCAGCGGACAAACTACCGTACGACCGGCTGTCGGTCGAGAAGCCGACGCACGACCGACCGTCAACGGACCGGACCCACGACCGAATGCCAACGGACCGGACCCACGACCGGACGACAACGGACCGAACACACGACCGGACGCCGACCGAGCGAACGTCGCACGAGCGGCTCGAGAAACCGTCCCGGATACCACCGAGTCGGATAGACCGGCTCACGGAGAGTAAAACATCAATAGAGCGGCTGGCGGAGAGCAAAACCGCGATAGAGATAAAGCCGGAGCCGGAACGCGTCACGGAGCGTGAGGTCAAGCGTGAGGTCCATCGCGAGGTGCAAGTGGAGCGGGTCGAGCGGTACGTGAAGGCGGAGGCCGACGTCGGCTCTGGACTCAAGCGGCCCTCCGAGGAGCTCTGTTCTAACGGTGAGCAGCACGACACATTCCTAAACCGGTCTCGAAATGGAGGCTCAATAAAGTAAGTTTTGTTTTCGAAGTCTTATCTATGGTATGCGTGTCGACAGTGGCGGAGCGGCGTCGGTCCCGGTACGTGGTCCGCATCCCGCTGAGCCGTCTGCGCATGGAGGTGGTCCGAGCGCTGAACCGTCCGCAGCCCCCCGTCAAACGGCTGCTCACTCCTCATGTCGAACAGGTAATCTATATATTAATACGTGAAGCAGAAACTTTGTACCCCTCTTTACGAAAATTGCGCGGACGAAGGAGTATGAAATTCCCCACACTTATAGGGAATATAGAGAAGGAATGCAGATAGTAATTTTTTTTTAAATTATGCATTAAAAATACATTAAATCAATAAAGAAAACATTACACACACTACCATGTATTTGACACACACAGATACATATAATTATACTATTTGTTTATTGTCAATTGTCAAACTTTTGTTATTCTTTAAAATCTGTGGTCAAATTTAGAATAGATTAGTATTGTTTGTCTTTAATATTATTTGTCTATAGTGCAGTCTCTCAAATATTAAGTGTATAATCTATGGTGCAGTCTTGGCGAAATCTGTGATTATAGAAGTATAATAGTGTTTGACAATACAACCAATAAGAATGTTCAAACTTATAATTTCAATTAATTATATTCGAATTTCGACAACTGCGGAGACCACTAGTATATATTTATTTATTAAAATAATTGTTCGTATGTTCCCAGGGCGGCGAGGTAGCCAACAACCACGAGCGGTCCAGCACCGCCCCTGAACAAACTCCCATTTACTTCTCGTACTTCGAGAGACTTCCGGCCGACGCTCTCTCCGACGAGGAGAAGGATCACAAGTACGTCATCTATTTAATATCGATACAACACACAGATTATTATCATTATGATGAAACTAACTTATGATTTTTTTAAAAGTGATTTTATGACCTGGTAACTAGGACCTTTAGGTCAAGTCTTATTTTAATTTTAATTATAACTTATTTATATAAAAAATTATATTATGAAATGAAATGAAGTTGATTATTATGAAACATGGCATGAAATAAAATGAAATGAGATGATATCGGATGAAGTATAATCTCAGTAAAATGGTGGTCATTTACTGAGACTTTTTCAATGGACTTTTTGGAAGATCCCTAGAAGTTACGTTCAGCAACTTTGTTTCATTTTCCCACATTTGTGCACTTTCACAGCTACTAAATAGTCAATAAACCACCGTTATTACACATTTAAACCTGTAGAAACTTTAATTAGACAAAATAAAACAAATCACATAACTTCACTCCTCGTGTTCCCGCCAAAAAGTCTCATTGATTTTATGAGTAAACCTTCCACAGATATTACTTAGTAGAAGCGAAGAGGCTCAGGAGCGCGGCGGAAGCGGAACAAGATCCATTGTCCCGAGTGATGCTGTACCTCGAGTCGGTTCTCTGTTTCGTCCTGACCGGTCGGGTCCTTGAGCTGGAGTCCGACACCAAAGGCGCCTTCACGATATACCGAGAGACAATCGAGTACATCAAATCGATACATTCGATGCCCCAGCGCTTCAGGGCCTCCCCTCACGACACATTCAACAAACTCGATATACTCAGGTTAGTGTTGTGCCCGGAAATCGATTTGCTGGAACCGAATGATCGTATCATGAATACTGTACATTTTTAGAAAAATAAAAACTAGGAATTCATTTTAAAGAAACTTGGACTTGGAAAATTATATGTCTCGAAAAGTGGTCGTATCGATACAGAAATATTAAATATCGATATTTTATTTTTCGCAGCCTCCGAGTACAGGCTCTGCTCTACCTGCGAATGTTCAAAATGTACAATCGTGAAGTCAAGGAATACAATAAGATAGTTCACGAATATCAGCAAAAGGTGAGTAAGGTAAATATATTGTTTGTATCATATAATATATATATTTTTATTTTAAATATTATTTAAGTACGTTCTAAGTACATACTATTTTTATATATATTTTTTAACATAAAATTATTTGTCAAACAAAATACATATTACAATTGAAAACGAACAATTTTATTAATGACAGATGCTGGTAGTAAATATTTATTGGCTCATTAGTTAATAGTTGCTTAAAAAAAGTATTCATATAAATTAAAATGAAAACTGCAAAATGTTAGAGACATCTGAAATCTTTGAATCGTATATAAACAATGAGTTTGTGGGAAATATAACTATGTATTGTCATCCTTATTATTTTAAAAGTACCAACAGAGTAAATTAATATGTAAAGCTATTTAAAAAATTGTACATTTGATTCTTGAATTCCCCTGTATTGATTCTTATGCAAGATCCCTTAATACAATAGAATGCGGATTTATTTAGAGAAATATGTTATTACCCTGACAAGGTCCGGATATTAGGGCAAAGTAATAAAATTGAAAAATTGTCATGGGTCTTTGATGTGTTTGCGAATTTCCAAGTTAATCGAATATCTTGAAGTTGGTGACAAATATTATATCCTTAGATTCCATTACACATATCAAGTTAATAAAAGGGAAAATAGTGAAAAACTGAAAAGTTCGCAAACATATTATTCTCACTAAAAGTGAATCGACTCTTTGGTTTTTTTGTTCTCCTCTCGAAAACATACTTACGTTTCGTATAAACTTTTTTTTTTTTTTATATATATATTTTTTTGTTATTGTTTATTCTATACAGTAAGCTGTCGTAAGACATTCAACCGTAGTTTTGATAAAAATAATTTCGGCGGTGCATGCACAATGTCCATTGACATGTCCATATCAATTAATCTACAGTAGATCTAGTAGATCTTGAGGCACTCTTCTTCTGAGTCTTCTTGTAGTCATTAGGTTGTCCATTAAATGCTTAGCAAGGTTATTCGGATGGGCTTCCAATCTTACACAATATGCTTTAGCTCGATGGATTACTTCATGTTTGACTTTTCTTATGGCAAGATCATAATGGATCGTATAAACTTAAGTATCGACAAGTGAATGGTTCGTGTTGTCGCACAGCCGGCGCTGGCGGAGTCGGTGTCGCCGCTGTCCCCGTCCCCCTCCCCCGCGGGGTCCGTGGGGTCGGTGGGGTCGGCCTCGTCCGGGTACTGCTCTCTCGCTCACTCCGTGCCCGCGCATGCGCACCAGGCGCTGCTGCTGCTCACCAAGTACTACGCCTTCCTGTACGTGGCGCACGACCTGTGGGAGCAGGCCGATGGACTCTGCAGGCTCAGGGCGAACCAAGGTCGGTGCCGCTTCGCTTCCACGACCGACCAACATATCGGTTCTAGTCTGTAACTATACTTGAGATCTTGAGATCTTATATCTCAAGGTGGGTGGCTCACTTACGTCGTAAATGTCTATGGGTTCCAGTAACCACTTAACACCAGGTGGGCTGTGAGCTCGTTCACCCATCAAAGCAATAAAATAAAAAAAAATTCTTGTACAAAAATTGATTTAAGTAAATAGTATTATAATGATTTAGTTAATAGAAAGCGTTTGTTTTTTGTTTTTTCAGATCTTTTCATAGCGGTGGATCGGAAGTGCGGTCCTCTGTCTCTTTCTTCGACGTTTAGGCACCTCGTCCAGTACGTGCGATATGCGATATCGCTGCTGAAGAACGCTCAGAGGGAGTGACTACACGCCTGCCGCCCCTTGTGTCGGCGCGCACATGTATGACGCACGAACAGACAATCGAACTCTCTGCTATATATGTACATATAGTGTTTAAACAAAAATTAATAAAAAAAAAAATTATAAAAGCAGGAAACGTCAATGAAACAGATAGGTCGCTTGTTTCGTAAGTTGTAAAGTTTTTTACGTGATAAAATTTTAAAGTTTTACGATTCGGTACAAAGAGAGCAATAAATAATAAATAATAATACGTGTTGAACGTCTGTGTTGGCAATACTAAGTGTTATTATATGTGTTGTCATTTAATAATTATAATAATAATAATGCCAATAAAAGTTTTAAGAATTGTTGTATCACATTTTTTTTATTCGTATTATTTAACTTACACATGTGCAATGAACTGTCAAACAACATCACACGGTGCGTTTATGTATACATTTTTTTTTCGTTGTCTTAATATTTGGTCAGACAAAGAAACGTTGGTGAATGAATTATTCGAATGAACACTGTGATAAGAAATCTATACATTTTGAATCTATCGATATCGATAATGAATTTGTATCGATTTTTTTATGCGAGACTACCCTCGCGTATTCACATCACTAAAGCAACGACTGTGATAACGTGTTATCGATATCGATAAATCGAACGCAACGGTCTGGACAAAATAATTTATATTCAATATGATTATTTAAAAGTATCTATTTATTTTTAAAACATATACATCACAAAATGAAAGTCAATTTGGAACAATTATCAGTATATCTTAGCTCGTACTCTTCTTTGAAATCCTATTGAGGTTAAAAGAATTCACGTGTCGATAGTACTCCCGGTCGCATAATAATCGATTAATAAACTATATATAATCGGAAACTCGCATTCGTAACTCCCCGAATATCTATGACCAATATGAATATTGTAAATCTGTAAATAGCTTCGTTGCCTAGCAACGGATGACGTCGGACACCCACAGACTATGTAAATACGTGATAGTGTCATCATATCTTAAGCGTTTTTGTTTTGTAGTCGGTACCCGTACTGGTTCTTCGGGATCATTTATACAAGACAGTTCGAGCGTGGGCCAAATATCGAGTATATTCTTAATATCTCAACATGTAAGGGAACACTTTTAGAATTTCGCAAAAAGATTTTTCTCGTGTATTTTAATTGTTTTCGCTTCGATTTTAGCGCGTGAACGTAGCATTGTTTGTTTATATATTATTCGAGTAGTTTCCGCTTGACGAAGGCAGTCGTATCGTGTCGAGATTGTACCAAATTCAAACCCAATATAAAACGCTAATTGATGTTCGGAACGTAAGTTCAGATACAAATAGATACAAATTCAAATGAATTTTTTTTATCAACTCAAATCCGAGGAGAAATTGCTTGATTTACAATTTACATCACAGAACAAATTGTTCGAACAATGAAAACGTATGCATAAATATTTTTAATGTACACATACATATCAAATTATTTATTTATTTTTCTTTCGTGGTCATCATATTTGATAAAAAAAATTTTTTTTTTTTTTCATGTCAGTACTAAACTATTATTTTATCACAATCATTTACGTGTCTTGCTAGATTAAATTAAAATAAACAATATATTTAAAAATCGATTACCCTACTACATGATACTTTGATTATTTTTTTTTAAATTAATGTGATTTAAATTAATTTCCAACGACAATAATACTCTGTTAGAAATGCTAGATTCTTTTAAAAAATATATACAATTAAAAATATGATCGCGGTGCGGTCAGGCACCGACTCGTGTCGCACTGAATGACGAACAAAAACGCAAATCGTTTAATTCCATTTTAGTTGAAATAATTATTAATATTTTAATTGCAATGTCCGGTGTGCGTGAGCGCGTCAATCCACCCGCAATATACTTTTCGCCATTCAAACAACAACATTATATCACTCGGTTGTACGATTCGTTTTTAAAAATAATAATTACGTTGTGATTGTAAATAAACATAATATAAACTAATTATATTATAGATTTTGTAATCGATATACATACGTGTTAGTGCCAGATAGGATTTTGTATGAATGTTTACAGTGAGACCGCGTTCGTTTTGATCGACAAATATAAATATAAATATATATATATGAATGTCATCGATGCCTTGTAAATAATATTGAGTTAAGTAGTTTTCATTCGATTGTAATTATTATAGTATATCGTCGTTGCAAATTTTAAATCTCCTATGTGTAGTTTTCGAGAAAAAATAATAAAACTACCTCCTAAAAAAAAATATGTAAAATTTTTTTTAGCACATACGATATCTACTTTGATCTAAAATAAAATGTAAACCGACACTTAAATTTCTTTAAGATTGACTCGTAATAAATTGAAATTTTAAGATAATATGCAAATATGACATTTTTTGCTGAGTATTCAAAATAACTTTCATAATTTTAGCCCCGAAATCTCACATTAGAGATTTTAAATTTGCAACGACGATATATTTATTATATTTGTGTATAAGGTTCGGCGAGCGATGTACGGGGCCTGGCGTGTGTGATTTATACGTGATTTATATTTTTTTAAATGTATCGTCGAGCTAGCAGCGTTCATTTAGTGTAGTCTAGCCTAATGTTAGTACCGTTACCGGCCGAGAGATGGCGCTGTTTTAATATTATTTTGTGTCCCATTAAGTCTACTTAAACGAATCGTATGGATTAATTATAACGTGTGAATCCGGACGTCAGAGAACGTCGAACGATATAGCAATAAAGAGAGCAATGAATAATAAATAGAAATTATATTATTATTATTATTCCGTATGAAATGTTAACATGAAAACGTGTGGGGCGGGTGTATGTTGTATTTGTTGTTAAGAATGTGGATAATAATTGTTAAGAGTGTTTTTCACGAAGCTTCCATATATGTATTTTTTTTAAGATATGGATTTTTAAAACGATGATGATTCCAATGACGATTGAATTGTACTGAGCTTGTGATTTGACGTAATACCTTGAATGAATATATTATTTTTTTTTTTAGGTAATTTTAGTTAATTATGAAATTGTCGTGTTGATTTTTGTTATTTTTTTTTTTGTTTTCATCATCATAATATTGTCATGGCTTGTTTTTTTTTTTTTTGTAATATCAGTACAAAATGTTTGCACGTTTTAATTGATCTATTTTACGTGTCCTATTCTTAATTATCATCGAAATTTAAAACAATTAGTTTAATTTAAAATAATTATTATTATATTATATTGAAATCGGTACTTACCCGCACAAATATTTATTTCCTTTATTTATTGTTATATTTATTTTCTCGAGCACCCGATGCGAAGTTTACTTAAGTTTATAAAAGAAATACCTACATCTTTTTTAAAGATCTGTCGATTATCTATACTATACCGGATTGATCTAATTGTATACACACGTTGGCTTTACGTTTTATTGAATAAAAAAAAAGACATTTTTTTTAGATTAAATTCAAAATTTATTTAATTTGTTTTCGTTAATTTTAAAACTTTTCGTTGTCATATTGTTTTGTTGCTTATTTAACTCGACCTTTAGAAATTTCCCGATTAACGATAGTTAGTTATGTACTAATACATTTTCTCCTAATTTTAAGGTGTATGTTTGCACAAAAAACTCGGTAATTAAGTTACCCATCTTATGTCCTCGCAAGAATCCTTCGAGTCCTTAAATCTCAATTTTTAAATTATTAAGCCCCAAAATTGAAACCAAATTTTGACATTATAAGAAGCACTCCCGAACGCCGCGGAGGTGTTTTCGATTTTAGAAAAATTGTAAAATATTGTTTTATTATTTTTCTTTTTTTTTTTTTGTAATAGCATCTTGTGTTGATAGCGTGTATAATTTGTTTTATACTCGAGTTAAGATTAAGTATAAATTTGTTTTGCTCTTATTTTATTATTTGTGTAGCTGTACCTTATGTTATCAATGATAGAATACATTAATTTTATGTATCAACCATTTGTTTTTTTTTTTCGTTTCCGCTTTTTTTTCCTTATTTCGCCTCAATTTTCGTCTACTCACGTAATTAAATAAGATGTATTAGCGTAGTAGATATTGTCAATTCACACCGATCGAATATTGGATTTCAACACCAAGTACCTGCCTACGAAGACACCCGATTAATTAACTAGATAAAGATTGTATTCATAAAAACAATCAAATGTGAGATTACTAGCTTCTATGATATTTTGAAAACGATGAAAATCGACGCGGTTATAGAAAATTATAAGCTTCAAATTTCATTTCGGTATATGAATTTGAATGGGTTGCGTAATTCGCGTATTACTCGCGTATCAACGATCAAGTCTTTAAAAGGACTTGAGGTTTCCGAAAAAGAAAAGAGGAGAAAATCGATTACAACACATGCAGTAAGCAATATTCATTTGTGAAGCTGGGCATGAATGCTTTTTTTTTAAGAAATGCATATTACGTGAACGCGCTATCCAATAGCGCAAAATATCGCGTAGAAAGTTCCATTGCGTCGTTCACTGAACTCGCGTGCATTGTAATTAGCATTACGAGCTATCCAATGCGTTTTCTCTGTCCTATCCATATCTTTATATACAGGGTGTGACAAAACTACCCGTAAAGCCGAAATGAGGTTAAATGGGGCCTTATGACGAGTCCATTCACAATATTTAAGAACCGTAGTAACGCTGTACATAACATAACCCAAAATAATTAAATATATTATTAGTTTCACGGATGTGCAAACCCTATTTCAGTAAAATTAAAGAGTAAACTACTCAGAATGTACCTATATTTTTACTCGTAACAGTTTTAGGATATCGATTAGAAGATTTGAAATTGACAACTTTTTTTTTTTCAACTTGACATTTTTTGAAGTACCTGAATATAATGACATCCTTGTATTGAGGTAGCAAAATTTATGAATAAAAAAATTGAAAAACAATAAAGTAGACAATTATTAAGTAAAATAGGTACGTAGGCCTTTCTGTTAAATAATCTGGTTCCCTGACATGACAGCTTACTAGGGTTGACAACGTTTTTGGCTTACAAATTATATTTTTTACAGGGTATTTTGTAACACGCTGTATACTATTCTACTGTATATATGTATGTCACTGAACTCCTTTTACACGACTGGACTGAATTGAATGATTTTTTTTATGAGTTTGGGTGGCGCCCTGTATGGTTTAGATTCATAAATCAGGCCGGCAGATGGCGTTGCAGTCGCTATTTATTTATACCGCAACTAAACGGCTGGATTGACTATTCAAGAATTTTTGTGTATGCATTCATTCATTTATTTCATTCATTCACTTTGCGTATGCAAGACGTCTGTCGGGTCCGCTAGTCTGTTTTATAATTTTGAGATAAATTATAAATATTATAACCAAAAAAACATCATCACGAGAATCGATTGCGTCTGAAGGGAATTCCTTAGCTTCATCGATCCTGGCAAAGCCCGTGAGCGTTGCTGATCATTAACTATGAAGTGGATCGAATGCTTGTATGCACTAGATCACAGTGATGGTAAAATTCGGTTTCTTTAAACATATGCTAACAGTTTATGCTTAGGGCTCATGGTATCGTTGAAAAGTTTGAGAGGTAGTATTTGAAATTGTACTTTTTTTTATTGCTTAGATGGGTGGACGAGCTCACAGCCGAGCTAGTGTTGAGTGGTTACTGGAGCCCATAGACATCTACAACGTAAATGCGCCATCCACCTTGAGATATAATTTCTAGGGTCTCAGTATAGTTACAACGGCTGTCCAGTCTTTCAAACCGAAACGCATTACTGCTTCACGGCAAAAATAGGCAGGGCGGTGGTACCTACCCGTGCGGACTCACAAGAGGTCGTACCACCAGTACTTTTGGAAGCTTGTTAGTATATTGGGATTTCTTAATGTATGGATTAAGGGTGCGTTTCAGTCACTGGCTCGTTTCAACGCAAACCAATATGTCTAATAAGGCGGTAGTAAGGCCTTATCCTCGAAGCGAAGTACTATGTTTAAGTAAAAGTTTCAGTAATTACATATTTCGTGAGTGGTAATGGATAACGCACAAAACTTACAGCCTGTTCAACAACAACGGTAATATTGTTGTAATTCTTGGGCACACGTTATAATCCGCATTAGATAATTTTTAATTTCACTATTTTCCTAAAACAACTCAGTAAACGTAATAAACATTCGCTGCTTAAATAATTTAAATGGAAATATTATATCTTACATAACAATAATACTAAATTCAATTTAACTCAACGTAAGCGTCGTAAATCTGTTTTACATTTGTTTAAATTTATTATCGTTAGCAAAAATCTAAATTAAAACCAATGCAACACGAATTGTAACACCAAGCGATTGCAAAATGAATAGATAGTATCAAACACCACTTACATTGTAACTAATTATCTATATTATTAATTCGTAGTGATTGTGATTGTGATCATTCGCGTAAGTAATTTTCGAACGTTGCAAGCTCGCAATCTCGACGGTTCGTAATAAGTGCTCGAAAATAATGTAAATAAACTATGTTATTGAATAAAAAGAAATAAGTTTATATATATTGTGTGATAGACACGATAATTAAGGAGATTTTTAACGCGGGAACACCGCATCGCTTTTGTATACGATAGTATAATAATACTGTTTAGCTGACGCATAGTATATTACGAAGTCCCTACCTCAAAGAGCTTTTGCGTGATATAAATACGCGTAGTGTCCGTTTTAGCGTGAAGTTTTATATTTTGTCTAAAACTCGGCTCACAATATTATTGCGAACAAAAAATAATTATGTATCCATTTATTCCTTGAAGAATCAACAAGAAATGTTACATATAATGTTTTGCAAACGGCATCTGAAAATTTTTGCAAATATATCCTTATTTGTTCTGTTTAATTCTAAATCTGCAATTCGTTCCTAAATGCAACTAGTATTTATACACGATTTAACAATCAGGCGACACTGAACACTCTAAGATCTTTTTAACTAAAATACGTTATCCAATGTGTGATTTATTAATTAAATTATCTTATCATGAATAATAAAATCTCATTTTAAATCTTTCTTACAGCGAATTTGTATTGATTAAAGTAAGCCTATTAATTAACATGCACTCAAAATCCGATTTCAGCGTTTTATTGATAAGGCCCGAATATTTAGCTTTACTAAAAAGAATATGTAATGATTCATTATAAATATTAAGTTTCTCAATCGATCGTGAAAGCAAGTTACACAGAAAAAAAAAATTATCCGTGTTCCCGTTGTTAATACTGAAATAATGTACAAAGGTTTTATTATAACATTTCGTTCAATGCTGACGGAGAAAGTTTTATACCTAAGTAGCTTTAAAAACATAAGCGTAGAAATCATTTTATACGCATTCTTTTTTATGAATAAAATAGACACGAGGGCTTTTTTTCTAAGACATGAGACATTGCAAAATATCATTAATAAAATAGTTGTAACTTCAAGTCATGCATATCCGATATTTTTGCAATATACCTACATATATCTTGATTACTGCCTATTTAGAGATGCTCGTCTCTAGTGCACGGTGACGGCAACTGCGCTTTCGCAATGGCTAAGAGGGGGAGGGAATTGGAATCATTTATTTTAGAGGTAAATAAAGTTCAAAACGAATATTTAAATTGTGCCTTAGTGATTGACGGGTTAGCGTTTTATTTATATCGTTAACGTCGTAAATACGAAATGTATTTCAAATAACGTTCGCGACAAAATTTAATCTTTAACTTCGCATTAATCGAGAACAGTATTCGGCCGTTTTCCAATTACAACACAAGAGCGCATTATGCGGCATAATGCTCAACTAAGCTTCAGCATAATTCGGCATTGTGCGTCACTGAGTCGCATTATGCTCTGTAATTAACCATTACTTAATGGTAGTTTTTCAATTACAGAGCATAATGCGCTCTTGTGCTGTAATTGGAAAACGGCCTTCAACAGCAGAGTAAACGCGTTGCACTTTCAGAGACTAATAAAACATCTTGTAGGCTATTTAGATTCTAAATTATTTCTGAATTGATGCAAAAAATAATAATAAGAAATAATAGTTTTCATTTTTATTGGATGTTGTGATTGAATTATATTTATACAATTTATATTTAACCGTAGTGATTAAATGTGGTAGCAATAATTTTTAAGTGTGGCAATAAATTCTAGTACATTGCTTTATTACGGAATGTAATTACATAGATTACCTAGTTCTATGCTGTACACTGCTTACAATAATATACTTTATGTACGTAATTTTGAATTTGTTAAAAATACATATTATATTTTATATTAAACTGAGAAAACAATTAGTTGTGTAGTGAATTTTTCATTACATTTTCAAATGTATCTTCAAATATTATGAGCTTACAATTTCTATGTCCAACTATTTTAAATCTACGCTTGTTGTTGTACATAAATCTAAGTTACGTGAAATAAAATACATATTATTGGTCTTATTCATAATGCTTGAAACTAAAATAAAACTGATGCTCGATATTTTTTTTAATAATAATGACTAACTATGACCACGGTACAAATACGCCGCCAAATTAGGTACGCGATATAAAAATCGGGTAGATTCCATTTTAATTTAAAATCGATTAAAATTAGGTCTGCTCGATTATAATGTCTCACGTCTCAATGACTTCTTAATTTTACCTCCATTTAAAATGCGTAGTTCCCCTGATTTAGCTTAGGAACTAAATTTACTTCAAAAAGAAGATTGAACTGACAGACAGAACTGAAAATTGAATTTAATACGTTTATAATTGGTCAAAATGGTGTCCCATCTATTTTAATTCTATTAAACTATAAATTATCGTTTTAACTTTATCGGACGATTGCGAATAACACTTTTACAATCTTCTTATAACGGGCCTTTATAGCTTCCATAGCTAATTATGAATAAGACCATATATGAGAGTAATTTCAATAAGTAATTCTGTTAGTTGCATAAAGGAAGACAATTAAGTTTCCAATTATGAAGCTAAGAACTCATTGAATAATTTTGGCGACCT